ACTCCCAAGAGTGTATGCCCTTTGTCTTCAGTTACCAGGGTGGGTAGGGGACCATTAGGTGGGGGCAGGGCTAGGCGTGCCTGAGCTCAGACTCTACTTGGGCAGGTCTTGCTGCGTCTGCTGTGGGGGATGAGGGTGAGGTTCCCAGGTCAATGGAGTTATGTTCCTCAGAGGATTATGGCTGTCTTTGCTGTGTCATGCAGGTTGTCAGGGAAGTGGAGGAAAGCAGTCACAGGCCTCACCCAGCTCCCATACAACCCAAAGGGCCAGTCTCACTTCCACTGTGCCCCCACTCAAAAGCACCAAGTCTGTTTGCAGGTAGTGGGTGAACAGGGCTGAGAACCTGCCCTAGGCTACCTGCCTTCCAGCTGCGAAAATAAGTAAGGCTTTCTTTCTTCCCCAACCTGTGGCGTCTGCACACTGGATTCATGCCCTCCCACGAGTTCTGGCCAGGAGACTTTTCGATTGGTTCAAATTGTTACAAAGTTCAGCTGGAGGTTTCTTTTTGCCTGTGGCCTTTTCTGAGTGCCTCCAGTAGCCCTCCTCAAGGACCCCTTGTGAGGTGAGGCACAGATGGCTTGGTAGGGCACCCAGCGAGCCCACAGGGATTTTCCTGCTTCTTCCTCTATCCGTGTATTTCACTTTTGTTCTGCTCTCTAAATTGACTCAGCTCCAGGTAAGGTCAGAATCTTCTCCCATAATCTAGACCTTTAGGTTCCCCCATGGGGGTGTGTGTTTGGGGTGGACGATCTGCCTTTCCCACTTCCACAGTTTGAGTACTCCCAGTATTTGGGGTGTCTCCCAGGTCCTGCAGGTGCAATCACTTCCTTCAGAGGGTCTGTCAGTTCTCTTGGCTCTCCTTATGTATTGCTGCAGTTTTGGAGCAAAAGTTCATGATGCGAGCCTCCACACGCTGTTCTGTCTGTCTCCATTCCTTTTATTACCCAACCACATTTGATCCAACTTTTGATTATTACTGAGTGAAGGGATAATTAAGTCTGTAGACACAACGATCTGTAAACTTTTTTTTGAGATGGAGTTTTGCTCTTGTTGCCCAGGCTGGAGTACAATGGTGTGATCTCAGCTCACTGCAACCTCCACCTCCTGGGTTCAAGTGATTCTTCTGCCTCAGCCTCCCAAGTAGCTGGGATTACAGGTGTGCACCACCATGCTTGGCTAATTTTTATATTTTTAGTAGCAACAGGGTCCAGGCTGGTCTCAAACTGCTGACCTCAAGTAACCTACCTGCCTTGGCTTCCCAGAGTGCTGGGATTATAGGCATGAGCCACTGCGCCCAACCTCTAATCATTTTTTAAAGAAGCAAATCCTCTTACTTGCTTTCATATTTTCCTTTATGCAAGGCAAGTTGCAATCTACAGACAAATTTAAGTTTTCTTCTTTTAGATTCTCTAGCCTTATTGGCAAATACTTAGAAGAAAAGCAATGAAGGAGAAAATATAAATCATAATGAAGTAGTGATTGGATAATATTCCTCAAGAATATGATTAATTATCCCTCTCTCCACCCCATTTAATTAGACACAAGATGAAAATGGAAAAAGATTTCCTTGCATTCTTTTCTATTAATGACCAAATAAAGAGACTACCTGTCTCCTTAATGCAAGGGCTCAGAGTTGTATGTGTTTGTAGAATAAAAAAGTAGATAAGCAATCCGGAACTTGTTTTCCTTTTCATTCACTATGTTCTTTATGAATAACAATTTTTTTTGGTAATCAGATATCAGAATGGATTATTTTGGAAGTTCAGGGAACTTAATGTAGAAATGCATTGCATAGGTAATTACAATGTTTTGTGTTTATGTTGAAGCCTACACTATAACTTTATAAATTAGGAAAATATAATAATACCTTGGGCATTTAGTTCTATCATCTGTCTTTCTGACAGATCTGACTTTGTGGGAAAAAGCCATTTGTATCTCTTAGTCCAAGACAATGAAGAATGTTTTTTACTCTGTCACAAGGTGGCAGCAAATGTCAAAATTTTATACTTACATAATACCTGTATCTAAAATAATCTGCTTTTTCCTTTAAATTAGGAACCTATTTGAAATTACTGCATTGATAAAGTATATGGGATGTAATACTATAGGCATCTTAGAATATTAGACTATTTTAATTGAAACATGAATAAATATTGGAACCATTTTACAGGAATAAAAATAAAACTTTTAAATGGATAACTTCAGTATAACTTTTAATGATATGTATCAATATTACTTTTCTGGTTTTAAAAATAACATCAAAATTTTCCATTTCAACTGTAGGGACAAAAGAATAATCACATTTTTCTCAGTAGTAGACATACTGAGGTTGCTTATTGAAAGGAAAGCACTGCAGCTGGAAGAGCACTGTATTCCGTACTTGGGTGGCAAAATATATAACATGGCACTTTGTATAAACAAGCATCACCAGATGTTTATTGATGAAATTGAAGCAGCTGCGTTGTCTGGGGTATATACCCTGGGGTTTGTTGTCATGCACCAGGAAAATTTAGGAAACGGACACACACAAGGAGTTTAGGAGCAATTTAATAGAGAGAAGAGAAAGAGAAACAGCTTCCTCTATAGAGGAAGGGGTCTCCAAGCAGAAAGGACTGGCTGGCAGCGAATGTGTCGAGTTTTATAGTCCAGTTTTAGAAGGTGGTGTCTGATTTACATAGGACTCATAGATTGGTTCAATCAAGTATGATGTTTACACAGTGGCACAGGAAAGTCTGGTCGACCCACCTTAATCTTATACAAATGGGCTTTCCAAAAGTTGTCTGGGGCCATCTTGTCTGCTCCTTATGGAACACATGCCTGGCAGAGAAGGGAAGACCGAGCAGCCATATTGAAAACATCTAGTCCTTAGTTCCTGCCAGTACGTGCAGACTTCCAGCTTGCAGGCTGCTCTTTGTTAGAAAAAGATTTGGGGCTGCTTTTCATTAAAAAGAAAAACCTTACCGAGGACTCCCATACCCTTGCTATCTGCCTAAGTGATTTCTTCTTAGCTCCTGTATCAAAATGATTAAAACAAGGATAAGAGAACTTTGATAGGAAGTAACTTAGCAGGTCTGATTTGGGAAGAAATAAGGATTTATATTTGTTTATATGCTCATACAAAATTCAAGTATTAATATCCTTTAATGTAAGAATTTAAAATTTATGAAGAAATATCAGTGTACATTTTACACGTTTTTACTGGGTACATACTGTGTAATAGACACTGTGCTAGGCAGTGGGTATATAGTGGTGAATAAGACAAAGGCCGGGCACCATGGCTCGTGCCTGTAATCCCAGCACTTTGGAAGGCTGAGGCAGGCGGATCACGAGGCCAGGAGATCAGGACCATCCTAGGTGAAATCCCATCTCTACTAAAAAATAGAAAAAATTAGCCGGGCATGGTGCTGGGCACCTGTAGTCTCAGCTACTCGGGAGGCTGAGGCAGGAGAATGGCGTGAACCCGGGAGGCAGAGCTTGCAGTGAGCCGAGATTGCTCCAGCCTGGGCTACAGAGTGAGACTCCGTCTCAAAAAAAAAAAAAAATTAAAATTAAAATTAAAAAAATTTGGTGATAAAATATTAAAATATCACATTCACAATTTTAATCATATGATTAAGTTACATTTAGACTATATTCTAAATTGATACACAAAGATTCCTTCTTTGGTCTAGTATGATACTAAATTTTATTTTTTATTAGAATTTATTCTTTTGAGTTGTATGGTGCTTATTTTATTTAGCATTTGATCTCTTTCCACATAGCGATTTATAATATTTTAGATAACTTTACACGTTTTATTATAGAGCAAGTAGGAATTTCTGTTTGAGATTCTACTATTTTCTTAGTAGAAGAAAAAATCTGAGAAAAAAAAAAAAGAAAAATCTGAGATTCAGATTTTCTTAGACTGAAAAGAAATTATAATATTTAGACAGGTTAGGTGTCTGAAGTCCTATGTGAGTTTCACATATGTCATTTATTCACATGCATATTTAAGGTGCTGCAGGTGCTGGAAAATCAGTGATAAATAAACAGACACAGTCCCTGCTCTCACAGAGTTGTCTTGGTAGAGACACATTAATCAGATAATGAATAGTATATAATTACATAAGGAGATAAGGAAAGGAGCATGGTTCTATAATAGCCTATGTCAAGGGAACCTGATGTAGATCAGTGTGTCAGAGAAGGCTTCCTTGAAGTTGTACATGGTGAGAAAGATTTAAACTCTGCAAAGGTTGGTGGGGGTAAGCTGGTACCAAAACAGATTTGAGTTTTGAAAAGATATCTCTAGTATTAGTGTAGAGACACTGAATTCAAGGAGATGAATTAGAAGCCTATTGTAGTTATCCAGGAGAAATAACAACTTGAGTAGTGGCAGTGAAGAGAAATGGACAGTAATTAGAGATACTAAAAATTTAGGTGGTAAAATTGAAAGAACATGCTGATTAATTAATAGGCATGAAGGGCTTGGGAATGGGGAAGTATGAAAGATGAAGCTTTGTTTTTTTGAGTTGCACAAGAGCAGCAACATTTACCAACAAACACAGAAAAGAAACCATATATGGTTTTAGACTTGTTGAGTTTGAGGAGGTTTCCATTCAAAGGAAAACAGAATATAGTAAGGATACATGGGTCTTTTGGAACTACAAGGAGTTTGGGCCAAAGACATAAATACAGGATTCATTAGATTATCTGTGGTTATTGAGGTTGTGTAGGAAGAGAGTGAAGAAAAACAAGAGAAGGCAGCTTAAGCTGAGCCTTGAAGGACTCCCAACTCTACTGGCTGAAGAGCCAACAAAAGGGAACAAAGAGGAGAAACTAGAAAGGAAGGGAAAAGGCCAATAGGGGATGGTGTTGCAAAGATCAAGGCAAGAGAGTGTTTAAGCAGGAGTGTTTCATGCTGAGAGGTTAAAATAAGAATGGGATAGAAAAATATTGAAAATCCTAAGCAAATGCATTTTCTACAATTAGTAATTACAAATGTGCATTTTCCTTTTATTTAGGCACATCTACTATGCTTCTTACTAGAATAAACTGTGCAGATTGGTCTGATGTATGTACTAAGCAAAATGTTACTGAATTTCCTATTGTAAAGATGTACAAGAAAGGGGAGAACCCAGTATCTTACGCTGGAATGTTAGGTACCAAAGATCTCCTAAAATTTATCCAGCTGTAAGTATTCAGCTTCATTATAAGATCTTTAAATGTTTAGGTCTTTAGAAGTTCTAATTCTCAGACTTTGCTAACACTTTAAATAGGTTAAGGAGGATACTAGAATTGAGATCACAAAATAAATATTCATAAGAGTCTATGTACATTTCGTCACTTTTGGAGAGACAGTAATTTTGTTTAATGAGTCTGATTTTCTTTAAGAATAATATTTAATTTTCTATATTTTGTAAGATATTTATCCTATGTAATATATTGTTTGCTATGTTTAGTATGCTTTTTTTTACAAACTGAAAATATCTTTAAAAATTAATTTTTAATATAGCTATATATTTATCCAGCAATAGGATTTCATATCCAGTGAATATAACATCGATTCAAGAAGCAGAAGAATATTTAAGTGGGGAATTATATAAAGACCTGATCTCCTATTCTAGTGTGTCAGTACTGGGACTATTTAGTCCAACCATGACAACAGGTAAGTAGAGCTGAGCTTTTAAATTACACAGTACAGTATATCATTGCTTGCTAGTTTTATTTTTTAAGAATATCTTTTTAAATTATAGAGAATTTCAAAATTATGGAGAAGTTTGAAGAAAAATAAAATACTGTAAGCTAATTATTCAGATATAATGTTAAATTTTGATGTAATTTCTTCCATCTTTCTTCTGTGTACCTACATATTACATATTTATGGATGTTTGAACATAATTGGGCTAAAGCTGTGTATCTAGGTTAGAATCTTGTTTTTTTTTTTTTGAAACGGAGTCTCGCTCTGTCACCAAGCTGGTGTGCAGTGGCGTGATCTTGGCTCACTGCGACCTCTGCCTTCTGGGTTCAAGTGATTTTCCTGCCTCAGCCTCCCGAGTAGCTGGGACTACAGTTGTGCACCACTATGCCCAGCTAATTTTTGTGTTTTTAGTAGAGACGAGGTTTCACCATGTTGGCCAGGATGGTCTCGATTTCTTGACCTCGTCATCCGCCTGCCTTGGCCTCCCAAAGTGGTGGAATTACAGGCATGAGCCACCGTGCCCAGCCAGAATCTTGTTTTTATTTAACATTACAGTGATGTATTGATATTCTTCATGAACGTTACGGCTGCATAATATTTGGTGAATATATATATATCAAAACGTATTTAAATTTTTTTTTTTTTTTTGAGACAAGGTCTTGCTCTGTCACCTAGGCTGGAGTGCAATGGCGTGATCTCAGCTCACTGCACCCTCCGCTTCCGGGGCTCAAGCAATCCTCCCACCTCAACCTCCTGAGTAGCTGGGACCACAGACATGTGCCACCATGCCTGGCTAATTTTTTGTGTTTTTGCAGAGACGGGATTTCACCATGTTGCCCAGGCTGGTCTTTAACTTTTGAGCTCAAGCTATCCACGCACCTTGGCCTGCCAAAGTGTTGGGATTACAGATGTGAGCCACCATACCTGGCCTTTTTTAACTGTTTACAAACTGTATTTGTACTGTTTTCTTTTTTTTTTTCCTTCCGTATGTGAAGAATATTTTTGAGTCTTTGTATGGATTTTAGACTATATAATGAGTTTAGATTCCCAGTAGAATAACTATGCCCTCTGTAAATTGTAAGTTGTATACATTACTCATTGGTTTTTTTTTGAGACAGGGTCTCTCCCTATTGCCCAAGTTGGGGTGCAGTGGCACAATCACAGCTCACTGCAGCCTCAACCTCCTGGGCTTAAGCGATCCTCCCACCTCAGCCTCCTGAGTAGCTAGGATTATAGACATGTGCCACCATGCTCACTAATTTTTTAATTTTTTGTAAAGACGAGGTCTCCCTGTGTTGCCCAGGCTGCTCTCAAACTCCTGGGCTCAAGCAGTCTTCCTGCCTTGGCCTTCCAAAGTGCTGGTAGTAAGGCATGAGCCACTGTGCTTGCCCACTCATTTTTTTAAATGGGGTTTTACTGTTTGTCTAACGAATTGGTGTGAGACCTTTGTACATTAAGGATATTAAGCTTTTGTCGTTTTGTTCCAGTTATTTTCCCTCAGTTTGTTATTTGTTCTTTAGCTTTGTTTAATGATAATTTTATGTATCACATTTAAAATTTTTTTAATCTATTGACTTTAAGATTTTTTCCATTGCTTTTAGCTATAAAAAAAGCCTATCATTTTTGTCACCGAATATTCACTTGTATTTTTTCTTGCTTTAATTTACAGTATTTTCTTATTTTAATTTGTCTTGCTTTGTCTATTTTTTAAAAAAAATTTTTAATAAAATACACATAACATAAAATTTACCATCTTACCTGTTTTTAAGTGTCTATTTTACAAGTATTAAGTATATTCACATTGTTGTACAACTAATCTCCAGAATATTTTCATCTTGCAAAACTGAAACTCTATACCCGTTAAACAACAGCTTTTCATTTCATCCTCCTCCCAGGCCCTGGTAACCACCGCTCTACTTTCTGTTTATATGAGTCTGGCTACTCTATGTACCTCATACAGATGGAATCATACAGTATTTGTCTTTTTCTGACTGGCTTATTTCACTTAGCATAATGTCTTCAGGGTTCATCTATATTGTAGTATGTTTCAGAGTTTCCTTCCAATTTTAGGCTGAATACTATTCCATTGTATGTATATATCTTATTTTGTTTATGCGTTTATCCATTAATGAATTTTTGGGTTACTTCTACCTCTTGGCTGTTGTGAATAATGCTGTTGTGAACATTGGTATGGAAATATCTCTCTGGGACTCTGCTTTCAATTATTTTGGGTATATACCAAGAAGTGGAATTGCTGGGTCATATGGTAATTCTGTTTTTAATTTTTGAGGAACCGCAGTACTATTTTCCACCCTGGCTGCATCATTTTACATTCCTACCAACGGTGTACAAGGGTTCCAATGACTTTAACATCCTTGCCAATACTCGTTATTTTACTTTATTTTTTATGATAGCCATCCTAATGGGCATGAGGTGATATCTTGTGGCTTTGATTTGCATTTCCCAAACGATTAGTGATGTTGAGCATCTTTTCATTATGCTTGTTGGTCATTTGTATATATTCTTTGGAGATATAAAAAATAAATAAGAAGAATATTAATGTGTACCCTGTGGCTTATCATCTTTGAAGGCAAAATCCTAGAGAGCATATCTTTCTATTTTTTGTTGCATTCACTTTTCCAACATTTTATTATGAACTTTTTCAAGCATACGGCAAAGTTGGAAGAATTGTACAGTAAACACCGATATTTTAGTGCATGGGATGAGCATAGGTGCCAACTTGATTTTTTTTCTAATAGTAACGTTTATCATTTTTTTCCTCCTCTATATGTGATTTCACCATCACCATATTAAGTCCTTATCTATATGTGTGTGTGTGTAATATATATGTCTAATTGTTTTCTATTTTATTCACTTTACCTACTGATACTATAATCTATTAGTTTTATAATGCACGTTGAATATATAATCAAGTCTCTGATTTGTCTTTTTAAATATTTTCTTGTTTTTTTTCTGTTGACTCTTCTAGGTGAGCATTAGTAATTTATACTTATTCTCTTAACTGATTTGGATATCTGCTGCTTGTTTTATGCTTCATTGCTGTTTCTTTAGTTTTTCTTTATTTTTTAAAATATGGTGTCTACTTCTTTTGCTTGTATTTTCTCCAGGACTAGAGAAAATGTTCCCCAAAAACATATTTGAACCTATAAATAAAGATAATTTCAATGATTTTGACTCCCTCTTGTGGAAGATTCTTTTAATTTCTTTTTTTTTTTTCAAGTCTTGCTTTTTTTTTTTTTTTTTTTTAAGACAGAGTCTTGTTCTGTCATCCAGGTTGGAGTGCAATGGCGTGATCTTAGCTCACTGCAACCTCTGCCTCCCAGGTTCATGCGATTCTCCTGTCTCAGCCTCCCAAGTTGCTGGGACTACAGGCATGTGCCACCATGCCTGGCTAATTTTTGTATTTTTAGTAGAGATTGGGATCTATGTTTTTTTTTGTTTGTATGCCATGGTTTCATGTAATGGATTCACATTAGCTTTATTGCTGAACAATTTATTTATTTATTGCATCCTACATAATAAAATGTTGGAAATCTTTTAAAGAAAATCCTTGCATTCACTTTTCCAACATTTTATTATGAACTTTTTCAAGCATACGGCAAAGTTGGAAGAATTGTACAGTAAACACCCATATAGTCACCACCTAGATTCCACCATTAACATTTAATATTTGCTTTAGTACCTACCTGTATATCTTTCTATTTATTAATTCATCTTATTTTTGATGCAATTCAAATTAATGTTTTTGCATTCAACTTTGATATGCTTATAACAATTATTTTTACTTTGATAGTTTTACGTGGCAGCATAAACTATAGTATTTTTTAAATATCACAACTTCTCTTTTCTTAGACCCTTACTCTTTATCTCTTGCTTCACAGGAATGTGTCTTTTAATAAGTTTTTAAGGAAGGGTACACATAGGGTGTTTTTTCTGACCGATGGTATTTCTGGTAATGTTATTTGTTGTTTTTGCATCTAGATGGACTCTTGAGTCGGTAACAAAACCCTCAATGTTTTGTTTTTCTTTTCTTTTTCTTTTTTTGTTTTTTTGAGACGGAGTCTTGCTCTGTCACCCAGGCTGGAGTGCAGGGCACAATCTTGGCTCACTGCAAGCTCTGCCTCCCGGGATCATGCCATTCTCCTGCTTCAGCCTCCCGAATAGCTGGGACTACAAGTGCTGCCCGCAACCACACCTGATTGATTTTTTGTATTTTTAGTAGAGATGGGTTTCGATCTCCTGACCTCGTGATCCACCCTTCTCGGTCTCCCAAAGTGCTGGGATTGCAGGCATGAGCCACCACGCCTGGCCAATGTTTTCTTCACTATGCTAACTCTTACCAATGATCTAGGAAACTTCCCTCCTCCTTGTTTTTCTTTTCTTGAGATGGATTTCAAATTCTGAATGAAAGATTTTAAGAATATTTGTCTGAGAAGAGGACCCCACTGGTCTAGCATTATATTTGCACATAGTAGATACTATTGATTACATATTAAATTTTGCTTTCTACAAATTTACATCTAGCAATTTTTTTCTACTTTGTTTTCAGAATTGTAAAAAGTAAAAGCCAAAGGAACTTATAAAAAATAAATAAGAAGAATATTAATGTGTACCCTGTGGCTTATCATCTTTGAAGGCAAAATCCTAGAGAGCATATCTTTCTATTTTTTGTTTTTTTTTTTTTTGAGACAGAGTCTTGCTCTGTCACCCAGACTGGGGTTCAGTGGCATGATGTTGGCTCACTGCAACCTCCACCTCCCAGGTTCACATAGTTCTCATGCCTCAGCCTCCCCAAGTACTGAGACCACAGACGTGTGCCATGCAGCAGCATGCCCAGCTAATTTTTTGTCTTTTTAGTAGAGACAGGGTTTCACTATGCTAGCCAGGCTGGTCTCAAACTCCTGACCTGTAGTGATCTGCCCACCTCAGCCTCCCAAAGTGCTGAG